CCGATCAAATCACTGTCTCGGTTTCTACCTGTCACCTATTCAATACATGATGAAGCTGTTGCTCCCTTGGAGGATGGACCAGTGACGAGCCCTTGGTTGACGAGGAGCCTCTTTGGCCTGTTGCTGCCTGCCATAACAGAATAGAAAATGGGGGTGGCACACAGTGCAGTAAACGATAAACTGGAGCCAATTACTATGTTTGTTTCTTCGCCCCAGGGTCCCCTTCAGGCCTGTCCAACCCAGGAGCCATGATGAGCAAGGGGTGGTGCATGTGGCTGTATGGTGATGTGTATGTGTTGGTCAAGGAAGGAGTTGTTGGGGTGCACAGAGCAGCAAATCAAACGCCACTGGGAGAAAGAAATCTGTGCAGTGCTCCAGTCACCATAAAAACATCATGAAGCAGGCTCTGCCTGCTCTTTTTCTGTGTTTTCCATAAGAGCAAGCTGGCTATTAACTATTAGGAGGCCAATTGGCAGAGCTGATTGTTGCCATAGAAACCAGTAATAAAGAAGTCTGGGAGAATGAGTCCTTTGGGGGCAAGTGCAAGTGAGGTTGCACTCAAGGTCATGTTTGTGCTGACCCTCTCGGCCTTGTTACAATATATATGATCAATTTATGTCTCCATCCACTGTTGTGTCTGACCTTGGTGTTTACGAGACCGCGGCGGCAGAAAAGACCATCATACAACTGGCCTGATTCATGTGACATGTCGGCTAAACAACAGGCTTGTTACCTCCACCTCACTCCCCTCGCTACCTCGTATTGGTTGCTATATATCTGCTCGCTAAGATATATTAGCTCTGAGCTCAAGGCGTTACTTTGACAGGTATAGATTTAGTTAGCTGTTAGGATCAATACGAGTAGCTGTACCAGCTAACAGATGCAGTGCGTCATATATGTGGGTGACATTTTCCAAAAGGACATTATAGATTTTATGGAGCTCAAGCTCCATTATCAAAGTTTTTCATATTAACGGGCTATTAAATCAACAGAAAATATGATAAATCATAACTCAGGTTTTATCTGTGGCCCTTTTTTGATGCCTTTTCCTTTTCCTCGGTGCCTTAGTGATATCAGAGGCATTTTGTTGCCTATAAACCATTTCCTGTGACCTGCAGTTCGCTGGCTGTGCAGCAAGCAAGCAGGAGATGAAAGGCCAAATGTTCAAAAACAGTAAACATCAGTGCTGCCTTTTGTCATGGCAGATCGTTGGGGTTCAGCATCTGCTTTCTCTACGCCTGTGGAGGCTCTACAGATGCCGGTTACCTCAGCCTCGGGCAGGATGACAGCTCATCAAGATGACTGACAAGTGTGCGAGAGTGTGGGACTTACGATAGATGCACTTCTTATCTGAAGCAGGAAAGTTGAATGTTGTAGTTTAAAAAGTAAGAGACTCTTCATGCTGCTGTGCAAGAGTGACTCTGCTAGATTTGTTATTTTTGTTTTAATTAAAAGTTTCATATTGTGTACAACCAACCTCTGCGCCCTTGAGAAGAAGGCGTCAGTGAGCAAACCTTCATTCCTCTCCTCATTCTAAAATGAATTTCATGAAGTTTTTATTTGTTCTGGAAAAGCAAGACTAACGTTGCACCTCATGAACTAGGAGTGTGGTTCTAGCTCATCTCATTTTCCATTCTAATCATTACCGAGCATGTTGTCCAGCACAGCTTGCACTGTTAAAAATGGTTTAGCTTCCTGCATAGCTTATATGAATAATGAGTGCAGAACTATAGTTTAGGCGCAAAATCATGTTGATTAAGTTCAGGAGGGAGTGTAACCATAAACAAAAACAAACTGATTTTGACTTAGTAGGAGACTGTGCTCTGCTTTCTAAGATATTATGATACCAATTTTAACTGTTGTGTGGAGCTGCATTACAATGACATGCAAAGTGGATGCGAAGGTATAGTTGTAGCTAATTCTTTGGTAGTTGTTTGTCAGTGGCACTATGTTCCTTAGTGTTAGTTGATCCATAAATGTCTGTGCATCAATCTAAATTGTTATCAAACAGTGTGGCTGTGTCCTACTTCCATACTGTGTAGTATTTCTAAGCAGAGAATTAGTAAAACAACCTACTGCAGTACTGTATGTACAAACAGCTTTTATTTTGCTATTGTGTGACACTGCAGTGAACAAAAGAACTGTACAGTAGTAGTCTGGACAACAGCACATAAAGTATTAGTTGTTGGAAATATTAGGAAAAATATTTAGCTTTCAATTTGTGAACATTAATTCAGTGTCAGTGCAAAGTTGGCTAAACTCACGATTGTGTTTTGTCAGTCTGCAAAACATAGATCCCATTACCCAGTTTAGATTAGTTGATTTCAGTCATTCCTCAATGGAACTGTAAACTTAAAGTCCTAGATATAAATGAAACCCTTCTCAGATGTAAATGTTTTTATCCTATAATCACAAAATTACACAAGTATTATTTTCCAAAGTGCTGCGAGTCCCATTTAAACACTATTTACTTTTGTCAGAAATTTGTGGGAATGTTTTAAGGTTCATACTAAGATTTTGAATGTCCTCATAAAACTGGTTTTAGGAGCAGAAATATTCCCTGCAATATGAGATGCTTGATATTGAAGGAATATTTCTGCCACTGATGGGGACACAGTAGTTTACTGCGCTCTGTCGGTGATAAAACTGGTGAAAACGGTTGCTTGAACATCGCAGGAAAGTAGTTTTGATTCAACGTTTGCTTGACAGGTTTTAGAACATCTTTCCTCAGTAGCTTGCCACATAAATTCTCGCTCTTCCCATTTTCATATGGCTCTGTCTTAGAACACACACAGACAAACGCATCCTCCCACACATTTTCTGACTTCAGTTTCTCCATCGTCCTTGCTTTTTCCCAAGTTTCTTAAATTTATTTCTTCATTTTGTCTATTTATCTATCTGTCTGTCTATCTACAAGGCTTCTTATTTTTTCTTTGTTGAAATTTACAGTTGCTTCTATGTATCTATGATTTTCCACCATTCAAATAAACTAATGAAAACCAGACCCATCATAAAAACCAACAAATAACAAAGCTGCGTCCTCATAAGTTCAGCCGTGGCAGTTGATTCAACACTATTATTCTCCCGTTCGCCTCCCTCTGCCCCTGACCCTCCGCTGCACTTTGCCAGCATCCCCCCCAAGCAGCATGGGTCCCAGCTGGATGGAAGCAAGCCTGAGTGCATCTCTCTGTTGCCATCACAACCTTATAAGCCACAGGCATCTCTGGGTGTTGAGCATGAGGATATATGTTGTGTTTACAAAGAGATAGTGCAATGTGGTGACTAAAAAAAAAACAAAACACATACACAGATAGATGGCGCAGAAGATGACAGAGCTTAATTTAGAAATTCAACATCAGCATTCAGAGCCAGGAGATGTCGGAGCCCGGTGTCATTTTGTATGAATAATTCCTTTTATTTGATTATGCACCTTCAAAAGTTGGCTCTTTTGATCAAAACAGTGTCAGGCTGTTCAACGGTGCAGCACACTATTTCATGAGATGCTGTGTTTGAAGAGTTCTGTTCCAAAATGCTTTAAATTCTCACCGAGGAAACATAAATAAAAGTTATCATGCAATATGTCTAAAACATGGGGAATCTGGTATGTAAAAGTTGTAGAACTGCCATGGTCACACACCTCTATAAACAAGTTAGTTTTTATCTTGCACCTTTAGTTGTAAAATCTCAATGACTGTCAAGTTCAGGATCAGAAAAATCATCACATATCAAGTGAAGGACAAACCCTAACTTATCAAGCTGTCAACGTGCAGGAGGTCCTCCAACCTAAACGACCATATGGGTTGTTTGTCCCCACCCTCTGATACAACCCATTCAAGCGTACAATGAAAACAATACAGCAGCACATTATTATCACCTTATCAATTGTATTTTTTGTTTAAAATAAACACTCATTTCAATTCTGATGCTGCAACACATTCCAAAAATAAGTTTAAAAGTACCTGAATTGCCTTGTGCCATAAAACCACTGCTGCAGCTTCAGTAACTGGTGTCCTATAGTTTTTTTTAAACTAACTGCATGAGAATATTTCTCTTAACGAATAAGACACTAATTGTATAAAACCAACATTAATTCCAGTTTAGACATCACTAACATTGACTTGACTGAGGTGTCATGTAATTCCTCCATTTCATTTGTAAAATGAATCGGCTGAAGAGACATTATCACTAAAATCTCATGCATCACAATATTAATATTCTCACCATGCTCTGTATTGAAAACAGCAGTTGGATCCAGATATTGTGCAGCTTTTTGTTTTTACCTTGTGCTTCAACATCCTGCTTAGCAAGTGATAAAGTCCTTATAGATGAGTAAATTCTAAACAGTTATGCACAGATGATTTAATAAGCAATAAAGCCACTGTAAAGACAAATATTATTCTTGGAGCTCATGGAAATCTTACGTATTCGTCCCACAGTCTCATTGGAGTCAGTGTATTCTTATCAGCACAAACTGAAGAAAGAAAGTGAACACACTGCAATTATCAGACGATGAGCATGTTGATGATAAGCTACTTAGCAATCAGGGCCTCTTAATAAGTATTTATTGGAGGCTAATAGGCTGTGGGCTCATGAATATGCAACCATTAGCAGGTAATTGCTAATTAATTAGCATTGCACACTCATCCAATTAGAGGAATATGAGGCCATTAAGGAATAACCGATCGGTCGTTAGTGTCAAATGTGCAAACAAATGTTTACTCATTAGGAGGACATCTATTCAAGGGAATCTCGGGGTAGTGTCAGGAGTTTTTGTCCAGCTTGGCAGGGGGAGTAAATGATTTGATTGCTTTCAAGCCAAAACAAAACTATAAGTATCTATTTTGAAGATATTTTTGCTTCTTGAAGGCATTAGTTAGCTTTATTATTTACTGCTCAGTAAAAATCTATTCCACAGCTAATTGTTAACTCCTGACTCCCAGTAATCATTAATCTTTTTTAATTGCATGACACTGCTTTTGTTTTCTTTTCTTTTCTTTCAGGCATGGATATCTCAATTTACAATGCAACTCTTCATCTGCACTCACAAGCAGCTTTGGTTGCCATGTAAGGTGCCAGTGAACATTTAACTAAACCTGAACAGGGATGGCTCCTTTATTCAGCATGAGCTGAGACAAAAATACTACTGAGCGCTGACTGCTGGAGGAGTCACAGTGAGAGAGGTAAAAGCAGAGCTTGGTTCAGTGGAAATGTGACAGGAGATGACAGACAGAGAAGTTTTGTTTCAGTGAACTACTTCCATACAGTCTTCAGACTCTGCAGCAGCAGACATTTTATGTGTCGTGTTGTCTGGATCTGAAAAATGGCACAAAGGTAACAATGTAATTCTCTTCTCATACTTTTCTAGATAATAGGTCCAATAACCCATATAAAGTAGGGGTGTAAGCGTACACAGAAATCACAGTTCAGTGCTGTGCGTACCACGGTTTAGAAGTCAAGGTTCAGTTCATTTTCCGTACAGTAAGGGAAAAATATACAAGTCATAAAATCGCTTGTCTTTTATTATGAAACTTTGTAAACATCGACAATTTATAAATGTTCTTAATTTTTAAGTAAAGCACAAGTAAAATATGTAAAAATAAAATAGAATACAGCTGCAAACTGTTGCTACTAAGTGCTCCATTTTCCAGGGAAAGGCAGTTTAAATGATGAAGGAAGCAGTGTTTGTACTATGCTTGTTTGTCTTTGCAGCCATGATATTCATGTTCAGGTGGTGCCATTTATAATAAGGTAGCCAGTTTGTCATGTTGCTAAAAACGTATCCGATTACCGCTGAACGAACAAATCAAATGTCTTGTATTTCCCTGGGAAGACCTCACCGCTAAGGCAGGGTCTTCTAGCTCTGGCTTCTCGTTTGCACTGGCTAAGATGTTTGCTAGCCAGAGGCTTGGCTAAGCTAAGCCTGCTGTTTGTTTTGTGTGCTCTGCTCTGCCACTTAATATGTTTTTGCTGAAATGTGGATTTGAAAATAATGTTCCACATGCAGAACTAGCCTATTCTAAACTACTACTAAGGATTGAATTCGGTACACGTCTACAACAAACCAGAAGTCTTGTACCAGAACAGTTCAGTTTCAAGATGTGTACCTTTACACCAGTAAAATAAAGTTTTATCACCAGGAAAATATAACTAAATAATCAATAATAATGCGATTTTAAAGAAAGAGCCCAAATTCTTCATAATTGGATGTTTGTATTATATCGATTTTTTTTTTTTGCACTAAAATCACATTATGAGTCCCAAACAACAGGCTAAAGGCAGCCGCATTTTACTGGTTATACTGGCCCCTTAGAGGTACTTAAACTGATACAAAGGTACTGGGTGGTTGATAATCGTTAATAAATAACCCACAAGAGTGAAATAAAGGTAATATGAGGCAGAAAACCCTTTTCAACATCAAAATATTAGCTTTAATCACTTTTTGGCAAAGAGAAGAGCCTGTTCTCTATGGAGGCAGTAAGAAGGCATGGAACATTAGTGTACCAGTAATTAAATAATTTAGTTTTGACATTTAATTATGTATTTATCACCAAATGTTTTGCTCTAATTAAGTAAATTACAGCATCTGCTTTATGTAGGATCTTTTCATTTCTTTATTATTTCTTGTCTGCTCTGAATAAAAGTCGTTCTTTACCACTGAGGTTTTCTTCCTGCTACAAGATGAAACCTTAATAAATGTGCGCACTTGAATGTCCCGAGCTCCCCCAGGTGTAGGTAACCTGGACTCTTTATATTTCTTTTATGTTTTATATTTCTGAGCCCCACTAGTAATATTAACTCTAGTCTGAATATAATTTGGTAGATTAATTCAGCGTTTAAAGACTAAATGAAAACTGTCTTATTCTTAACTGGCTTGACATCTTGTTTTGTTTCAGTCTTTCTATTATCAAGGTGGTTTTTACCAAGCGGTGGTTAGAACTGCTGATTCAGTAGCTTTGTCCGTGGTTAGGGTACCTATGGCAATGCACTGTGTATATAGTACAATGGTAGTATTCACTGTACCAGTTTGGTAAAGCTATTGGTTAGCTTTATGCAAGCGCTTAGATTTTCAGCTTTAGCAAGGTTTTGACTATGTTGGATAGAAATTGATTAAATGTTTAAACACAATCATTACACACTTAACCAAAACACTGGAAGTTAAAAAAAATGTTTCTTTGTGTATTTTAAAACAAATTCATTAAATGCAAAAGACCCGACTATTCAGCACAGCCAGTAAGGTGATTCAAACAATGTTCATTGATCAAGTTGACCTGTAACAAAGTCGCCTCCAGGTGTAGGTCAGTCACATGGTGCCTAATATAAATGCCAATGAAAGTTGTGGTCTCAAGGCGAAACTCAGCATACAGACACGGCTTTATAGCTGCTATTCATGTTTACACAGTTGAAAGACAAAAGGACAATGACAGACTTGTCTAAAGAATGCTGAGTGTGTGTGTGTGTGTGTGTGTGTGTGTGTGAGGGGGGGGCAATAGACAATAGAGACATTTTCATCACTTGTGAGCATGAGGAATTAAAATCATGGTACAGTAACATTTAGGCTGAGCTGTAAATTTATTTTAACAGATTTAATGACAACTCGTGATGATGACTGGAAAAGTAAATAAAATTAAATTCAACTGTTATGATTACAGTTGTGCAGCTGATCAGAATCAGACTCATATTGCTGACAGTGTGCAGCCTGTCATTGCTGTCATGTGTAAAAATAAAAGATGTGTCAGGTTTGAGGCCAGATGGCACCGCTGTGAGTTGGCAGGAACTCGACTGCATAAAAATTTTAAAAAATTTGGAACTGTCCTGTAAAAAAAAATGTCCATATGTCATTTTGCCAGCACGTTATTACAACTAACATATACATGATTTTGTTGCGCGACTTCTTTTGAGACCACTTTGTGAAACGTTATTTACCCATCTTAACCCTGTTTATTATTGTAACCATGATGATGAATGTTATCTTAAGCTAATCCATGATCTTTTTCCAAACCTAACCAAATAGTTTTTGTGCATAAATCTAATGAAACACAACCATATGTTTATGATCTGATATGAATGGAGGAGGAAAGGTCTTATGGAGTGTATGATTGTTACCATGATGACAAAGATCTGGTAAGCGCACTGCAGCAGGGGTCCTATGTGACGTATTCTGAAGTAGGGACGACATATATTGTTGTTTACGTCTTTCCCAAACTTTTCTCTTCTCATGCACTGATTTGCTAAGCTGAACAGCCAATCAGAGTGGTCTCTCTCACCAACAGGGTCCGCCGTTGACTCAGCATGGTGAATCAGCTGAAAAGCCACCAACAGCTGATCATCAGCTTGGTTTGTCACGGGCCTAAGACTTGGCTCCAGTCTGTAACATTAAGGCCGCGTGTGGGCCAAGCTGTCTGGAGGCTTCACTGTTTTCTGTCACAGTGAACTTGTCTATTACAGTTTTACATGCATGCATCCAAATTAAAACTATCATTCATGCCTTATCGCTGTCACATTTTTGCATTTTTCCTTTGTTTATTAGTTAATAATTAATTAAGATCAAAGATATAACAAACAAAGATGTGTCAGGTTTAGCCAGAAGGCTATTTTTAATCCTTAAGTCCCCAGGCAGGATGATGTTATACAATAAAAGCAAGTACAAAAATAGATTTATGTAAATTACTATAAGGCAAAGTACAAACAAATACATAAATACACAAGTTGATGTCCAAAATAATTTAGACAACAGTGACAAAAAGATTAAGATTTCATTAGAAACTAGATGATGCTTGTGAAACTTAGTGTGGTCTGTTGTAAGTGTTGCTTTCAGTTTATTTTTCCTACAGCCTAGTCAGGTGTTGGCATTGGAAATTTTAGCTAAACATATTGCACTCAAGCACCTCAATTAAAATCGAGAGAGAGCTTTCAAATCAGTGATGTTTTCACATAATCCATCCAGAACATGAAGCTGCTATTCATGTTAGGCTTTGCTGCTGAGCTCTGATTAGTGACTGCATTTGTCTGCACAGAGCGACAACAGGACACACCATTAGCCTCCACACACCAGCAAAGCTTCAAACCCGGCTCTAAATGAACCGCGGTGTTTCAATGTGACCTGAAAATAAAACAGTCATTTGGTATATTTTCTGCTTTTCCCAGTGTTTTCAGTTTTTGGGTAAGGAACAGAGGAAGGAGAAGGAGAAGAGAAGGAGAAATGAAGACGCTTTTGTCCCACTGATGCACATAAAAACCAAATAAATGTATTCTTTCATCAAAGCAATATGTAAATGACAGCACTCTCAGGATAGGGTTCCTTGAGGACTTACTACAGTAGCACAGCTGAGTCGCTGAGGGTTTGCAGTTTATTTCTTTTTTTCATCACTGCAGTCTTCATAGAGGCTCAGCTGAGGCAAACAAAACGAACGCCCCATACTTCTGTCGTGGAAAAAAAGCAGGAGGAGAAATTTATGCTCTTAATTAAGAAAGTTGCGTGGCCTTGGAGGGATGTTACTCTGTTCGAGTCACCCCGGGAGCCAGCAAGTTGTGCTCCGTGTGTGTGGGCTGATGTGTGTTGGTTGGTTCGAGTATGTTCATTGTGGTCTTGGGTGTTTTTCTAGGAAGAAGGAAATGACAGATAAAACAAAGGAAAATGCTGTAAACTGCCTTGGAAATGTTGTTTCTCATGAGTTGGGATGCCAATGCAGCAAGTGGGAGCAAGACCAGCAGAAGGAGAGAGATTTGGGGAAAAGAGTTACGTGAGAAAGAGATAAAAGTCACCCTGAGAAAGACAACGTAATAAGAAAGAGACGATAGTAAAAAAAATAGATGAGGAGAGGCGCGGACAAAGACAAATAAAAGTCAGACACAGGTGAAGGAGAGAACGAGCTCGACAAGAGAAACTCAAAATGAAAAAAATAAATTCCAGATTCACTGTAAGCTGCAACAGCAGAGTTGATGCTCAGTATTAAAGTAATAATCTGCAGTATTGACTCAAATATTTGCTACTCTCTCAATATAATCATGATTCAGCCTGCCGCTGGAATTTTTCTGTTTGCTGCTCTAAACAGAAAATAAAACCTTCTGCTGAAAAGGTAGCGTTTAAGATTTTGTCATATTCTTTTTAACCACTTCAGAGCAGAATAACCCCTGGAAAAGCGCACAGCTCTGACAAGTTACCTGCTAGTTGTTAGTAAGAATCTGCATTAATATTGGTTTTGGGTGATATTTGTGTCCAACTGATGAATGTATGTTCCATATTGTCTTCTTTTTGCTCTGGTTTGTACTCAACAAACATCTGGTTCTTTAGCTGCTAAGACTGGGCCCACACTAGAGGATTTTATAACTGG